GGAGTGGCTTAAAATTTCGGCCCAGGATGAAACTCAAGTCCTGATTTGAGCGACGAGCCTTGCGGTAACCCTTTCTGCAAACGGCAAGGATGAGGTCGTCTCTCATATCCTGACGGAGACAGTAGCTTGTTTACTAAAGTTTTAATCCTTATGGGAAACTACGACGCTTTCGCCCTTCGTCGCAAAATGAGGGTTAAGAGCTCGATAATTTTAAGATATTTGGTTAATTTAGGGAATTTTAATTTTACGTGAAATATAGCAAAAACGTGCATTGTGGTGCTTAATTTTGCACTAATTGTAAGTCTAGTGGTCCATTGGAGAGTTTCGGTTCCAACTAAATGGTAGCGATCTGATTATCGAGTTTGGGAGACAAGGTGATAGAGAAAGAAAGCAAATTGAAAACACAGCAACCCTATTGGGGGAAGCGGGTGGTTGCAATGGACACAGAATGTAAGTCATACATTAACTAAAAGCAATCTCCCTGAGACACCATGGGTCATTCCATCATCAGTGTAAAAGAACCACCCGTTTCAAGTGATAGGATCACTTTATTTTCGCTGTCTCCTTTGTGTATCGCCTTGTCTATCAATTTTAATAACAAACGTACACGGTTGTCCGGCTCTCCTGCTGGATAATTTGGAAAACTTGGCATTGGCAGAGAAATTTCATGAAATTTTGATTTTCCGTCAGGGAAACCGAGATGAGTTTAGTATTAATTTTCTTTTTCTTTTTTAAAGCTTTGGAGTAGATGTTGCATAATTGGACGCAGGAATTTTGGGTCGAAAACGGCAAAAGCGGAGCGATACGATACGATGGGTGCACAAAGGTTGCCACGTTTGGCGTTAAAATAAGGATATTTTATGTGGGTTTAAAGGAGATGTTGCATGTGTGAGGGATTTGCGATTTGACCATTAATTCTTATGTAAAAGTTCGCGAGAAACACGATGATGCCACTGGTTTTCTCTGAAATCATCTCCCAAGCTCAAAAAAAGCTCTCAAAGTGAGGCCAAAATGGAGGGGATATCCCACCCTGCCCTGAGAGTCCACCTCTACATCAAAACAAACTCTCCATGCAAAGATAGGGATCAAATACATTAGCAGTGATGCCGTGTTTTCAGTTTTGGAGTCCCCAAATAAAGTGGCAACCCTGTCAATGTATTTGCTCCCTATCTTTGCATGGAGAGTTTGTTTTGATGTAGAGGTGGACTCTCAGGGTAGGGTGGGATATCCCCTCCATTTTGACCTCACTTTGAGAGCTTTTTTTGAGCTTGGGAGTTGAATTCAGAGAAAACCAGTGGCACCATCGTGTTTCTCGCGAACTTTTACATTAAAATCAATGGTCAAATCGCAAATCCTTCACACATGCAACATCGCCAATGGGGAATTGTGCTGCAACAATGGAGGGGGAATTGTGTTGCAACAATGGAGGAGGAAGGGCGCGGATGCGAGCGCAGTGCTGGATTTATTGCAATGCCGCGGCCGCCTCCACCGGGCCGGAGGAGCCAGGCCGGCTAGGCCAGGAGTAATCCACTCTTTTCTCCTCTATTCGCATCTCCTCTCAATTTCCATCCATTTTTATTTGCTCCAATTCTCCGGAGAAAGTTTTATGGACCCGCCTCTCCTTTGCCTGCACTCTGACTTCGATTTTATCTTCGTTAAATGAACCGGGGCCCGGAACACCGTTGAGGTAACCCCCTCCGCCGACAAGTCGCAGTGCAAATTCCCCCATTTCGAGCCTAGCCTAAGTAGGAACTTTTTTGGAGTTTCCCAGCCGAAACCTTTTTCCCGGAGTACTTAGATTGGGGCGCGAACACAGGCCTGCACTTATAAACAATCAACGCTCATAATTTGAGGAGCGTCTGAAACGTTCCTCGGAATATTAGGCTGAAGTCAAAGTTAAAAGCTAAAGGCTGAAGAAATACACTCATACTCTCATACATGCGCAGCACACGTTCATAATTATTTGTGTAGCAACTATAACGTCCCCGGAAATTTCCAGCTAAAATCTATTCCTCGGCATATTTTGATAAAGCTACTCTCCCATACGTGGACAAATGCGTAAAGGCTCTAACAGAAGGGAAAACTAGAAATGCTGGGAATTTAATCCGGGAATTCCCGGTTGAGTTTTATCGCCCGGGCGACAGTCATATAAAGAACACATACACGTGTATACATCTACAAGGTCACACTTTCAATTTAATGAGAAATGGAGACTGCGAAAACATTTTAGAGAATTCTCGGCTGACATCTATCGGAAATTTAGGTGGAAAAACTTACATTTGTGTATGTCTATGCTGTACTCACTCTTAATTTGAGGGTATGTCGGGAGAGTCCCTATGAAAGTTTTCCGAGAAAGTTCTTTAAAACTTCCCCGGGAATTTTCGTTCCGTTGCCGGCACTTACTCCGTGAAAAGTCGAATTCCACTAAAAAGTTAACGATTAGCGGGAATCCAAGGTCCTCCTACCTTTTTTCCTTGATTTCTCCGTGGTTTGTTACATTTCCAAAAGCCCCTTCAATACTGTAAAGGATGCGATGCAAAAATTTCGGTCTCTCTGAATCAAATTGCATACACATCGAAATTAAGGAGTGCGCGGGCGCGAGTTCACGCTAGAGTCCGTTTATACTGATTGTGAGAGTCAAGACAACCCCCTTTCATGGAGTCACAAATTAGAATAAAGATTACACAAATTGAACGTTTTTCGTAATCTTTGATCGACCCATTCTCAAATTCCTTTCTCCGTTCCCTCTCTTATTCCGTTTGTTCCTTATCAAACCTCTAATTCCTAGGTCCATCTCAGATTATAATCTTTGCAATCGGTAAAAATGTGATCTTCATTCCCGTTTATGACACCTTGGAGGTCTAAAATACGGGAACCAATCAGAAATGGATTCACATTGTCTTGACTCTCAGTATAAAGGGACTCTAGTTCACGCTAGCCTCGAGAATCCTCTTTCCGGTGGTTGGGGTTTCAGGTCGAAACGGCGCCGAGGCCTGGCTGCAGTGGTGTAAAAATCTAATCATTTTACGATACGATAACGGCCTTGGGGTCGTCGGAATGAGGCTCTAAAAGTCGCCCGGGCAGCTAACGGTCAATACGAACGGATGTTAATGGGAAACTCAGCTCGACGTAAAAGTTATTACGACACCGTGCATTCGCGTTGCTTCGTGAGTACAAAGTCGGAAGTTCTATACCACTCTCTCTGAGGGAAAACCCCGTATAAACCTTCGAACGTTGCCACGTTCCCTTTCATAAAATCAATATTTTCTTGGAGACGCGTGAATATTTTCCTACCACTTTTTTTTTCCAAATGTTTATCGAAATGTATTTTAAAGGAGCTGAAAATCTCTAAGAAAAATATCCATAACTTAATAAAATATATATATTCAATTGTTTTGTATATTTGACAACATTCGAATGTTTATACGACGTTTTTCTGTAACATTGCAATGCTCGTCTTTTGTTCCCGCCGCAATTCTGAGGCGCCGGAAAACAGGGCGTTTATCCAGATCCCGACACGTAGTCGTCGATAGTGTCTGTGGATTCAATGGGCTGTATCGATAAAAGAGAGACGTCTATTTATTGGACTGCATTTTGCAGTAAAGCTCTACCATTTATGGCTCACTGTAGAAACATCATACGTGTCAATAGTTTCATTATGTGGATGGATGTTTTTATGTACAGACGAGTCAGAATCAGTAGTTCCTAATTATTGCAAAATTTAGTTCATTTTGATGGAATCGAGCAAACAATACATGTCTTCGTCGAGACTTTTGGAAAGAGGACCTCTAGGTGTAATATAGCTCAGAACTATTGATACATGGTAGGATTCCTTGATTGCGTCTCGTCTGATTTGCTAATTATCTCGATTGCGATTGTTGCAAATAACCATTCGTATTTTATCTTTTCAAAAGTGCGACAGTATTGAGCGACATTGTCAGAGCTTAGTGCAAACATGACGCTCTTTTTCAAAAAAGAAAGCTGTGACACAAATGATGGTCATGCCCTCTTTAGGAAAAAAATGTAATGGAAGATTTGCAACGTTGCAAAATAATTGTGTGGTAATTTCATTTTCGACGTGTGACATGAGTATACGCGAATATGAGGGCGCGAGGAGAGTGATACGAAAATAATATTTGATCCGGTCAGAAAGTGCCTCTCAACGAAAATTTTTCTATTTTGCGATGGATTAATTATTGTTATCTACTTGACAAAAATGTAAAAAAATTGTAAAAAAATATTGTTACACTCGGCTCCTCTGAGTGAGCTAATCTGTCAACCAACTTTCCAGATTGAAATTCAACATTTTCTTTATATTCGCAATTTCATAGGTTCGGTGTGCATTCATTTAAATACAAACAAAAGGTCGCGCATTTGTTTATTGAATGCTAGATTCCCTCTAAGATCCGCTACTCTGAAACTAAGTGTACTTTATGGGAGAAAAATGGCAAATATTAATTTCTACAGTTGCTCATCCGGTGATCTTACTGTGTCTGGCCAAAACAATTATTTTTATTGATAATTTTTGTATCGTAATGCACTATCACGAGAATTTGCAACGTCGCAAACTAACAAATGCACTTTTGTAGGACTCACATTGAAAGGAACTTGAGCAAAAATAAAAATACCGCTTTTGAAAGTTGGACCATGGCGTTGAAAATGATTCTTCTCCTAGTGTCCTAGTGTCGGCGCGCGCCTTCAATTGACAGAATACTACACGCTCCGTCTCGGAGTTAGTTTAGTTGCTTAACCCAATCAAACCCAACTTAACCTTTTGTTATCATTTTTCATCCTCGTTCAATCTTAACAAATAAGCGCATTTTTAGAATTTACGTAGGTTTTTGTCACGGTAAGTTACCTTTCTATTTTTTTTTTTTTTTTCATCGTACTAATTTGTGACTCTAAGCCCGTGCTTTAGAAAAGAAGTTTTCTTTTATCTATTGTACTTGCAGTGCACTTGTTTATTGCTGTGCTAATTTCCTATCTCTTTTGTTTTTCAGACTTTCAAAAATTAGAACGAGAAGCTCGCATATGTCGGAAGCTACAGCACCCAAATATTGGTAAGTCTTTCTCATGTTAATTTTATATTACCCGTGTAATTAATTATTTATGTATTACTTTTGATGTGAGTCGGTTTGAAGTCTCAGCTTATTCCAAAAGCCAACCTTTACAGATTCACGTCGTATGTAGGAGGGGCAAAGCCCAGTATATTTTATTTAAGTACAAATTTTAAAGTTCACCATTTTGCAGTTGCAAGTCTGCTATGTTTGCAATTTGCCGCGTTTTATGTTTCGCATTTTTCTATTTCTTCTTCAATTTCATTTAAAAAAAAAAAAAAAAATCCGAACCCTGATCCTGATTGGCTCCTGCTTTCACCAATCATCGGCATCACTCAGCATCTATCAATTCATTGGATGAATGATATTCGATCGCGAAAATTCGCTCTATATTATCTCATCTTGGGACGGAATTTTTGTATAACGTTCACGCAACGTTACGTTACGTTCAGAGCCCTGCATAGACGATCAAATTCCGAACCAATTCCGATCAAAGTAGACATGCTGATGACTGGTGGTCTCCATCTACCATCAAATTTTGACGGGCCGCACTTTTTTGTTCAAAGTAAAATCAGAACGGAGTGCCACCATTCATCATTTCCTGCCACAGGAAACATTTCTGCCAAGTTTTCATTTTAAAATTAAGCAAATTAATGAGTTTAAGACTGATGATTCCCGACACTTTGATGCTACTTTGATCGGCATTGGTTCGAGAATTTGATCGTCTATCGAGGCCTTTGGAATGACACGATTTTTCCCATGTCGAGGCATCGGAAGAGCGGGAAACGACTCACATTCGCATCGGACCGACGAGGGCTTTTCCGCCGGATCCTTGAATTTACGGGGCGAAACCCGAAGCCCGGACCATCCGCATTAAAACCTCCATTACAAGTACGAGGCCCTCAAATTCCGGCATGGGCAGCCAATTATCTCCACGCGGTCACGCCTGTTCTCTCCAAACCACGTATCCGCAACGCGCGGTGCTATGCAGTTACGCTGTTCTGACTCGCGTTACGCTGCAAGTCAACCCGGTTTGTAGTCGCGGGTGATTGGTACCTAAGCCTCGTCACTGCCCGGATTAGAACCCCTCGCAGCCTCCACCCACCCCCTCCCCTCTTCCCCCGCTACCTACTGTTATCGCGCGCGGGGTAAAACGGGGATTTAAGAGATTTGATGCGGTGCACATGGGACGAGTCAGTCGGAGAGGTCGAACATTATTTGAAAACTTTAAAAGCCGATATCTTCGATAATATGAAGCCTAGAATTTTCAAAGTGATTGTCTCGTAAAATTTTCACCCCTTAAGTTTTCTAATGTGATGGAATAAACATCAAAATGGGTAGTTTTTTCCTAAAAATTTTATGTCCGATGTTTTTCAGTGCGCGTTCCTGTGTGCGGCATCTGCAGTGGGACTGTTTGATTTCGCCGTGTTTTTCGCATCGAATCAAACGGGAGTTTTTTTGCCGGGGGATCGCAGTGTTTCTTTTTCCTTTTAATTAGGGTTTCATGAATAATTGCAGTCACGCCGCTAAAAGGGATATTGTGAGCGTGGTCTAGCGTGTCAATCCGGAATAAGGATGCTCGCTTGATTTGTTGGTCGTTTTGTCGACAGCAGTCTTCTCTTAATCGAATGGGAAACAGAAAATCTGTAACTCTCTGGCATATTTGAATTATTCTGAAGAAGAGCAATGATCGTAATTGTATTTTTTATTTTTTTTTGTTTTTACTTTTTTTTCAACCACGAGTACCTCTAGAGAGTAATTCTGCACCAAGATTACTATCCCTCTCAGTCCCCACTCGACAACTGGACTGTATTTTGCAACTTGGAACTATGAATTCTGCCTCTTCTGGAAAAAACTTATGTGCATAGGGAAACTAATGACACATACGTTGTTTTTAAACCGGGCTAGAATCATTAGGTCCAAATTGCAAAATTTAGTCCAACTAGCCCCAAGCAAACCGTTCATGCAAGAGTACGGTCAATGCCACTATTTTATCACTTTGATCAAAGCTTGAGATCACACTTTATCACTGTTCATCGGGGCCAGATGGAATTGATCAAATCGTCAAAGTTTGATCAAATCGTCGTCACCTGATCACTTTTTATCAAAACTTGATAGATCTTGACCATCTTTCTTGAAACATTTTTCTGGAAGAGGACCCTCAGACCCCTCATCTAGAAGGAGCCCCCAATTCCACTATTAGAGGGGGCTCGTTCCCCGGAACATTTTCAGCCGGTCCGTCCCTGAATGAAAAAATGTGATTGGTCGACTTCCTCTCTGCTCATGTGCTCATTGGGTGGATTCAGCAACGAATTTTTGGCAGTATGAGTGCATTTAGCTTGACGTCGATCAAATCTGTCATAGACACTGAAAGGAAAACGGATGACACAGCCGAGCAATCGCATAACTCCATTCCACCTCATCCTTGTCAAGTCGGTAAACACAAAATTTCTCCAACTGCGAGCCGATTATTGAAATTGATAGACAAAGCTATAGACATAGAAGGCATAGGGAGTATGGTGCGATTATATTGGTTAAAATGGGTGGTTCCTTTAGACTAAGAGGGAAGATGATGGACTAATTGTCGGATCTCTTGTCAGTTACCGTTAGTTAGTCTATACCTACCTCCTTTGTCCATTGCAACCACCCGCTTCCACCAATGAGATCCCTCCATGTCCTTTCGTCTTCTTTGTCTATAGCTTTGTCTATAAATTTCAATAATCGGCCCGCTGGCCTGTAAGAGGGCTTCCGATTTGGCTCAACATCGTAAAAAATTTAGCAGCCAGCGCCTCGATTGTTGAATCGTTATCATAATGACTCAACAATCGAATGGTTATCGAATGAGTTTGGTTGATGACTCCCTATCTTATAAATGCTATATTTCGATCAAGGTCATTCGATAACGATTCAACAATCGACTTGCTGTAGAATGTTCCACGGGATAGGCGGACGCTGAATCCTAACTTAAAAAGTGATGGACCACCTGTGCCACACACTACACGTTCGGAAATTTAAAAGGCCCCCCCGCCACTCTACCAGTTTGTTGATTTATTCTAATTCCGTATACTTGACGCATCGACGTTGCCAATCAGTGGAAAATTCTCGCGATTTTTCCCGCGGAGCAGAATTGACGGTAGGTGAAATTTTAGGCAGGGTGCCCGAAGCAGAATGGTTCGAGATCGATTCGACGGTGAGTTATTACGCGTCATTACTGCGGCGGCGATACGTTGCGGTAGTGGTGGCTTCCTGCGCTGTTTTCAACCTCCCAGGGTGACCTTATAGCTACCAGAGAGGTGTATCAAACGATTTTCATGGAAGTTCAATGCACAGCGCAGACTCACTTTACAATTAATTTTGACGGAAACAGAGGACACAACAAGGTATTCGCTAACTTTTTTTCCACAGCAAAAACCGAGACTTGGGTAAAATCCATTGCTTTTTTAAGGTGATTCGATGGGCGCCATATTTTGTGTCAGAACGGCATGCGATGTATCGCATCAATTGTTTCCATTTTTTCAGCTACTCGTCATTTTTCTCCAATTTTGAGATCGCAATTCTGTTGTCAGGAGACTAAAGCACTCACTTACCAATTTTAACGAAGAAATTCAACGTAATAAAAGCGTGGTTTTTTCCGAGAGAAAACATCGCATTCGATACCGCTATCGAAACTGCACTCGAATGCGATTTTTTCTCTCTGAAAAAACCACGCCTTTATTACGTTGAATTTCTTCGTTAAAATTGGTAAGTGAGTGCTGTAATCTCCTGACAACAGAATTGCGATCTCAAAATTGGAGAAAAATGACGAGTAGCTGAAAAAATGGAACCAATTTATGCGATATATCGCATGCCGTTCTGACACAAAATATGGCGTCCATCGAATCACCTTAAACTACGTTTATTAAACCGTAAACTTGAAACCAACCCAACGTGGTTAGATTTGAAATTTTCAAGCGTTTTTGGTCCCAAAATGTTCTTGCATGAACATTGAAAATGGAACATTCTCTTGTGATTTGACTAGGGTTTTTTTTTCTAATCTGGGTCCATTTAACGTGGACTATCACATCTGTTAAAAATATCGTGAAAATATCAATATTTTACCATTTCGGGTCGGGATTTCGCAAATTGCTGCCACCACGGATCACCGGGGTCATAACCTCCCCGGTTACGAAGTTACGACGTGGTGATTCTGGCCAGAATGGCGGCGCTAAACCGCGCCGCATTAAGGAAATACGCCATATGGACCTTCCGCTGTTGCGTTTCTTTAAAATTATCATTGAATTCGAAATTTCTGGAGAACTTGCGAATATTGTGCGAAGAATCTGCAAGATGATTTTACTTGCACTCTAATTCAGCACATCTAATAATTTCAAGTTAAAATATCCACAGTTTCTCCTCAATAATTCACGTTTTTCGAAGAAAATGCCGGCAACGATGAAACGCAATATACGGCGTTCTTGCTTAGGGCGGCAGTAAAGCGGCCAAATTCGTATGGGGCGGTTCGCAAGTAATCTCGGAGGCATTTCGGGGTCGGGCGTTTTACGAGGCCCACCGCGGGGAGGAGGGGGGTACCGGTGGGTCGGGCCTCCGCACCGAACGACCCGGAAACACCCCCGGAAGATGATTCCTCCGGAGGAACGCCGCTTTATTTCGGGGATGTTTTTACTGCCCTGTCTCTAATTGGGCTCCGTGACCTCCCCCCCCCACCCCCACCCCTCGGCCTCATAGGCCCAACTCGGTTCACGAAGCTGTCGCCGATGCGGAGTTGTCAGCCGGGTTACATTTTGCCGACAGGGGCCCTTTAACTGGTTCATTTCAGAAACAACATTTATTCATTTCAACGCAGGTAGGTGCTTTTACAGGGTGTCTAGCATCAGGGAAAACCGGAAAATATCATGATTTTGGGCGATCAGGAAAAAATCAGGAAAATATCAGGATAATCGGAAAAATCGGACGTTTTATCAGGAATTTTTCTTACGCGAATCTCCTTAACGGAGAAAGTCTTA